TGTATAGCAGATGGTGGAGGATTTGGCTCAAGTGATGTAGCCATTAGAATAATTCATGCTCTCCCCTGATAGTTTGCTGGGAAAGGGGTGTTCTCATGTGAGAATACCCTGGGAGGTGCTCTGCTGCAGACACCCTTCTTAAATAGTGCTGGAAAATGGTGGAAATAAGCAGAGCCCTACTGAGCTCAGCATCCAGGCTACAGCACAGCACCTGGGAATCTGTTCTCCAGGGAGAGAACCACTTGTCTTTGTACAGGTGAGTGATGTGCAGTAAAAATGCTGAACTAGAGCCTCAGAAGAATGGCGAATGTTCATCATATTTTCAAAAAAGTGAAAATATATTTCAGACTTACTTTCAGGCTTGTCCTCTTACGCTGGGAATGCCTGCATCCCTTCTGGCTGTGCCACACTTGCCTGCACGCTCTGGCTGCTGCCTGGGAACAGTCATGGCCTTCTTTGTTCTTTAACACAGTGGTGCTGTAAGCTCTCCCAGTTGTAGATGTTATCTAAAAAGAATTAAAGAAATATATTTACAAACATAAGCACAAGTATCATTTAAGACAACAAATAACCAGGAGAAGTGAAATGGCAGTATTTCACTCTCATTTTTCCCCTGATGTTTTTGAATGCCTCAAGTTTTCCTCTTATGGTTTATGATGTTATCATGCTGCTGTCTAAACTACTACCTTAAAATACGTTCTAGGGGGTTATTTCCTCCATAAAACACTGACAATAATAATTTCCCCCGTAAAACCTTCAGTTCCTCCTTGCACTGTTATTTCAGATCTGTCAAGCCATTTGCACGTATGGTTGGTGAGCAGGTACCTGCTGTCTCCACTTACCACAAAGATATCCCTCAACTTAATTAAAATGAAACATTTTTCCTTAAGTTGAGGTATGTATCTGCTGGAGGACTGAGGGTGGGAGGAAGGAAGGGAAAGAGCTTTGTGTGGTACCAGCCTTAGGGTCTCAGAGAGAGGATTTTTCCAATCATGTAGCAGCTGAGGCTTATTTATGGGAAACAGTGAAGCTATGAATCCAATTGTTAAATTTTGGTAGTATGCCTAACATGCCTAATGAATGCTCCTTCAGCTCCTGCAGATGAAGGCAATGCCTGCTTTTGACAAAGCAGCCTTTTCCACTCCCCAGTGTTTGAGACACTTGCATCTAAAGGTCAGGCAGGTGATGGAAGCTACATGGCCTTGTGCCTATGCCTGGTGGGGTGCTGAGGCACACGACAAAGAAGCTGGGCAGCATCTTTGTGGTGTACCTTCTTGGCAGTGGAGGGGGATGGAGGCAATCAGTCAGAAGCAAGGTAGGCAGCTGGCTGCTTTTGTTCAGTCCTGTATCCTCAGGACCTGCACCTGGGATGGTTATGCAGGAGACCAGAAGACAGAGCAGACAGTGCTCAAGTGCTAAGGGAAGGCTCCATTGGTAGCAGCAGTATTTTTAAAGGTTGCATGGCTGAGAGAAAAGAACTATTCCCATGAAGAATCTTTTGATGCTCATTATGTGAAAGCAAGATGGCAGATTTGGAAATCCTGGCACAAAGTGCATCTCATTTCCCTAAGTCTGACAAACACACCGCAGCTCTCGTCAACACAGGGATCTGTCAGCATCCCATCACCCCTCGATGACCAGCACATGGATAACCCTCCATAACTGCTGTCCTAGAGCTAACTTGATGGATGGATGTTTTGGTACTGCTTTGGACTGCAACCACTGCAGGCTCTTCCCAGCAATACAGCTGGGCACATCCAAAAGTGAGGTTTGCTGGATTTCTTCTCTCCACAGCAGGGGTTTGCTGTAGGCACACTGCAACTCCAGTGGGGCAAACTGCAGAGGAAACTGGCTCCAGCACTGCCTGATCCACACAGAGCTCTCCCTGCTGTGTTAAGTTCACGCAAGCAGCTGCAGTAAGGTGTGTGCTTTGGGCAGGTGGCAGTGGTTGAGCTGTTCCCAAGAAAGAGGTGACAGAAGCACAGCACGTTGGCTTTGTGCTCGGTAGCAGATGCTGAAGGCCATGCTTCTTTCATCCTGCTGTATCTTGTGCAAAGCTTCCCCAGCATTCTTTGCAGGCTGTTGCTCACCTATGGCAATGTCCCCCTGGGAGAAACTGTGCTGGTGCAGATCCTCTGTGTGATCTGTACCAGGGCTCCCCGCCTCTGACAAGGCTCTGCTTTTCTTCTTTGCTTTAAAAATAAGAATTAATGTGCTGTTCATCTTTTATTTCCTTTTCATGCTCTGAGCTGTGAGTAATTAGAGCTACATCACACTGGAGAAATTACAACAATATAATATTTCTACAGTTAAATCTGCATAAGTATAATATCTTTGAAAAATAACGAGCTCCTCTAAGAGAAATTAATTATCCCGTCGGGACAGTCATTATTCCAAAGCAAAAAGAGCCCAGGTTTCTTTGCTTGCTTTTATTTTGAGGATTTCTTTCACTTGAAGTACTGGCCCCATCCTCCAGCCCTTTTGTCTGTGGCCAGAACATAAATAATCATATTAAGTGGTGTAAAGTCTATCCTGGAGACTTTTACAGATCTCAGGAGAATATTAAGAATCTTTAAAATTAAGTCCAAGTGCATTTTGCAGATCTGTTTCAGTGCTATCATCACTGCTCATCCACCAGCTCAACCCGTCATGTCTCATTTTCCTGGGTTACTTCTTTTCTTGTGAGTTGTTGCTGCTTCTTCCAAGGAACAGGACTCCACTTATCAAAATAAGCATGCTATCTATCTGGGCTCTCATCATATTGTCTACCCACACTCAAGTCATCATATTTAAGACAAGACTTCTATTTCAGGACAGGATGGCACAGCTGCACACGGTGTGTGCCTGCATTCGACATCTGCACTCAGCCTTCGGGAGCCAACCTGCAGACCTGGCAGCAGCAGGCATGACTGCAGCCATCACAGCACATATGGCTTAAATCACCAGCTGACCTAGATGATTGTACAAAGGTAACTTTAAAAAAAAAAAAAAAAGGAAAGAAAAAGCAACAGAAACCCATCACCTCAGTGCTTTCTACAGATTGTGTCTGGTGGGGTCTGAGGGGTTCTCCCCCAACAACCAAAGCCTGCTGTCAGTTTTCAGGTGTGCCTGTGAGCACTTCTGCTGTCACGGTGACTTGCAAGGATTCTGGCTGAATCCCTGACAGCTCCAACTACTCTGTTAGCCTTCGTTTTTCTGCAGGACCTAATCAAAGACACTGTTTGTTAAAATCCTATTGTCTCGGTAGCAAGAACAAGGACAAGCTCCTCTGTGGTGATTTAACACGGCCGACAGTTCAGTGTAGAGATTTATTACAGCCAGCAGAAAGTGCAAACATGCGATGCCCAAGTCATTACTTTTAATTTGCCATTTCTTTAAAAGAAATGTATACACAAGGCTAAAGCCCAGGCCCTTCCTTTCAGCTTGGTGTAATCTCCTGTCAGCCAAGGAACACAGCAAAACATAAACCTGCGCCCTTCCCTTCAGAGGAAGGACAGGGAGATTTAATTCCCTCAGCCTTTTAAAGGCAGATCATCATGCTCCTGCCACACAAGTTTTCAGACTAGAAACTGATCTAAAGTAATGGAATTAACCAAGCCTAGTCATTTAGATTACCAGTTCTGCCTTGGATCCTGGCTGAAAGGTTATGGCAAAAGCTCACAGAAGTTAGCTAATTAAAAAGATTTCCCTCTGAAAAAAAATTTATTAAGTTGTCAAGGACAGTATCATAATAAATAAAGCACAAAGATAAGTGAGAGAGCGCTATTAAGAAATGCAGTGATTCACACCCCCCCCCAAGCTTTTCAACTGCTTATCTAATCATATGTCATAATTATTTGCAATGATGTTAAAACTCTTACACGACGCAGTTGTAAGTCAATTACAAAAAATGGCTTTTAACAGTTAAAGAGAATAAAGGCAGTGTGTGCTTTTCCATCCTATATGGATGGGGCCCATTGCAGCCTGCTCTAGTAGGTGGGCAACCTTGCCCCTGGCAAGGGCTTGGAACTGCATGATCGCTAAGATCCCTTCCAACCCAAGCCATCCTGTAATTCTCTGATCTGTGCCCAAGAGAACAAAGCCCTGCCTTAGCTTGCATGCTATGAGCCAAGGTCCATGTCTCAAACAGAACCCCACAGAAAAGCTGCTTTGGGAGAAGAGAGCATCATCACCAGCTGTACTGCTCTGCAGCCTCATCCCGACTCCCGTCCAGAAGGCACGGAGCTCGTCCGATCGTTCAGTCACTGTGCCACGGGAATCACTGATGGATGAGCTGAATGCTGATTTTCAAGCAAGAGAAATTCTTTGGCAACCAACAGAAGCCCATGATTGCTTTGGAAATCGCTGAGGCAGATAACTGGTATTGCAGAGCCGCACAGAGAGCTTGTGCTACTTACATCATGGCTTAATTAGTTATTTCTGATACAGCAATACAAATGGCTCATATTGCGAACCACCTCAGTCCCTCTCTCTGTTTTCAGGCTTGTCATATTTGTCTTTTTACTGTACATCAAATGAAGCAAGGAGAGGAATAATGCATATAATTTGTAGCATCAGATCTTGGCAGGATCCCAGGCCGTACCTCCACTGCACTCAGTGCCACCATCAATGGAGCAGTCACAAGGAGCTGATGGGGAAGGGCTCTCCTTGCGCTGAGGGTCTGTGTCCTCTTGGCCTCCAGGCTGAGCTGATGCACTGAAATCCTACATGGCCTTTTCTGTAAAAGGCAAAATGTTGTTGTTGTCTTTGATTATGTTTTGTCTGGAAAAATTGCTCTGAAAACAGCTTGTGCCTGTGATCTCTGGACAAGTTTCTCCTGTAATTCTGTTGTGACCTTTTCACTATCCTTCCAGGAGTATCTTTGAAAAAAGAAAGAAACAAACCTGAACCACAAAGTTGTAAAGAGCTGTTTTCTTTCTTCTACCTTCAGAGACCTTTTCTTCCCCTCCAGAAGCACACACCTGCCTTACAGGCTTCAAATCCCACTGCAAGATCAGAAGAAAATGGCCAAAGTCATGGGTGGCAGATAGCTTTGGGCAGAGCACAGGCGAAGCACAGTCTCAAACCAGTTTGCATTAGTGAGCAATATGTATTTTACCTGCGGGAAAAGTCACACTTTTAAATTTCTTTTCAGTGTGATCCCTGCAGAAGTGACAGATGTCTGCTGAGGCAGGAATTGGAGGAGTGTGTGAATATGAAGAGGAAAAAGAAGAAAGAAACAACCAGGAAAATGAGCTGAAAGACTTCCCCAAATATGAACGCACTAAAATCTTTGCTCCAGATGAAATGTTGAACCCAAGCTTACAAGAGATTTAAGAACACTTTTCAAGTGCTATTGCATTATACAATATTTTTCTTCCAGACCTGGATCTTGGAAAAGGAAAGCTTTTGAACGGTATTTCATTTTCTCCCAGAATGAAAAAGGGACATAATAAAAGCTTCATAAGATCGCCTACTCTTATAACATACTTCTTTCCTTACAGGCTGTATTTTCACCAGCATTCCAGTGCTGAGTGTCACCCAACCCTTGGCTTTTGTTGCCAGCAGCAAAATACAGTAAAGCAGACCTTCTAACACGCTTCTTTAGCAAAGCTGCATGCAACCAAGTTTAAAATACCAGCATGGCAGCAGCACAGCAAGTGATACCAAAGTGACTGACAGACCAAGCTGCTAAAACTGGGCACATTCTACTGCTGCTTAACTACTAAAACTCAGCTACATATGTATGTTTGTTTGTTTTTTTCCCATTTCTTTCCTGATTTTAAGGGTGTTTATTGCAAAACACTGTAGGGGACACATTTCCCAAGCACACGCCTGACTCCTACGTTCAGTTTTCTGAAAGCCCACCATCTGATAGTCCCACTGCCAGTACATTACGTGCCTCCAAGCCAGACTTAAAGCTCTGGTGATGACACAGTCACTGGTATAGATAATTTGGTTCCTAAATGTTTTCTTTGTGCATTGAAACAACATCTTTGAGCAGTTTCTTAAATGTCATTTCTTGCACTACACAAAGCGGGCAATAAACAATAAAATTATTCACCTTGAAGAAACCATCTGCTGTCATTAAGGACATCACCACTTTTTTCTTGCTTTGAATGGTCCTCTGAGATGCTCTAAGTGTCATTAAAATGCTATGTTTGCCGTTGTCTGTGTGCCAGGCTCATTTTGCTTTAGAAACAAAGACAATGATGGGTAAAATAAGCAGAAATTTCATTCTCTATTAGTTTGTATATTTCACCTATTTTGTAAATGTCTTTTAAAATGCTCGGTATTTGGACATATTATTTGGGAGCTGCATCAGAAGCACTAAGCTCTGGATGTGTGGTGCTCTGAGTGCACTGCTCTGACCCTGCAGCACGCTCTGCTGGCTCAGTGCCTCCCCCCACACACCATTTCTCAGCACCAAGCTGACCTCTGTGACGTGCTGTGCAGAGCAGCTTGTGATGCTGAACTGCAGCAAAGCATGGTTAAAGTTAACCCCGGGCCATCTGTCTCCATTTTCCTCATCTACTCAATCATAGATGGAGAGGACAACGTCATTTGCAATGAAGCTTTAGCTCCCTTCCTCCTCCACACTCCTCCCATGCCTGCAATACACTTGCTCACTTCTTTTCTTGGATTTGTTCCTTAAAATGAGGGTATGCCTGAGTTGGCAGTGTGTCCCTGCACTGGGAGATCCATCACAGCCTAAAGAGGATTTGTTGCCTGTTCCCTGGGTCATCAGTGCAGCCTGAGTGCTGCAGTGGTCAGCCAAAGGCACGCAGAGCTGGTCCAGCTCCCTGCCATTCATCTCCCAGTCTTTCTTGCTTCTTTAGCTGGTTCAAAACGGCAAGCTCAGCACTCCCCCCTAAAACTGCATCCCTGCTTCATGAAAAGACTTGAGGCTCAAGACAGAAAAACGGTTCAGGAAAATCCATCTCAAAACTGGCCTTTGCTGTCTAGGACAACAGTTCACAGGAGGTGAAAGTCGTGCATCTGCCCTAAAGACAGGGCAGCAGCAGAATGCCTCCTGAAGGCTGGAGGTACTGAGGGCCTGGGGGGGGAGGATCCGAATAAAGATCAGTCTGAAAAAGGTCAGGTAAAACGCTGTTTTCTCAGAAGAACAAATGGTTGATAGCTGCATTCAGAATAGGCTGTGAAAAGTAATGGGTTTTAAAAATAAAGCTTTCTTGTTTTAAATGCTACATAGTCGGGGACATGTTATTTTCCTCCTAATGAAAGCCTGGAAGAGCAGATCACTGAGACAATAGGCTGTGCCATGCAGGATTCAACTTGTTGCAAGGTTGTAAGATTTATTTCTGGAGGCTAAATTTGAGATAAAAAACTTCCCCAAACGCAGCCAATATAATAAAAGGCAATCAAACACTAAGAAAAAGCATTCACACTGAAGACAACCTACTGTTACTAATATAGCTGAAACCAAAAGCTAAGGTCTGTCAGCCTTAAAAAATAAAATTAATTTTTTCTTAGCTCCACTGTCTTTAATTGTTCCTTCCACCAATAGAAGCGTTACAAAAATATAAAGAAAACCTTCAAGTCAAATCGAAGCTTCTCTTAAAATGAAATGCAATAAAAGCTCAATAAAGGCAGCTTGGGATTCTAGTGACATCAGTTTGGCTGTTGTGGTTTCTGATGTCAGAGCATCCTTTGATGGGATTATTTCTGCATGTTTCGTGACCCATTCATTATCGTACCCATATTGTAGACTTCATATTACAGTCAACAATAAAAAATACCCTTGGCAACCTCCATTACATTCTGCAGTTAATTTGTGTTCTCACAAAGTGCTTATATTTACTATGAGTGATAATCATACATATGCATGAGACCTTAAGTGAAGGAGAATGTGCTTAGGAGCTAGCACAGAGGGAGTTTTGCCTCGAAGAGATGTCAAAATCAGTTCACTTTTGTTACATATGAGTAATTTAATTTCTTCTACAGTGTTATTAGGGCAAGAATGAAGTAACATTCTTTGGCATAATTGAAGCAAATCCCAGCAAGACAAGAGGATAACAAAACCTTCCCATCTTGTCATGTCAAATCCTTACCTACTCTGTAGGGCACACAGACACATTCTTGGTGTCGAATTAAATTATCCCTTTGAGTTTATTAACTTGTTATGTCCCACGACCTCCGGTATATTTACCGTTGGATCTTTCAACTTCCTTCTTTCTTTAGTTTACTCCCTCACAATTGACCTCATTTTTGCATCAGATCAGAAATACTAGTGGCATTCAATCCTTTTTCAGTGGTTTCTCTTGTTAAATCCTTCAACATCATCTCTATTTCCAATACTCCAATATGAAACAGCCAAGGAATCTGTCTGCAAAAGGAGATGTGGGAGGCTCAATCTCTCCTTTTCCCCTACAGCTTCTTCTGTAGCAGAAGAGGCTGCTCAGAGCCCACGGGCTGCAGTCATGTCAGCCCCATGGGACATGAGTGCAGCAGCCAGGGAGCCTGGGGCAGGCTGCAGCAGAACCCTGCTGCTGCTGCCTCTCTGGGTGGGCTGTTTCATTGATTTAAAGCTGCCACGTTCCCTGGAGCAGAAATCAGAGCTTTTTCAATGTGACATGCAAGTCATAGGAAAACTAGTTATTTGTAGGTTAGACGAGCTGTAGCAGCTAAATCATGCGATACTTTGTTGTTTCTGACTTTGCAGTATTTCTGATGAAACTCAGAACAAAACTTTTGTGGAGTAAGTAGCTTTTCTCATTTTTTAAACGAGCATCCTTCTCAGCTTCACAATGAAAGTACCAACAGATGGCTGTCAGGCAGGGTTTCTCAGTAGTTAAGCCCTTGTAACCTTGCAGGCCTGTGGTCACTTGGATGCACTTGTGATTATTTAAAGCTTTGAATTTATCATATTTGGCTTTAATGGGAACTGAAGTTGACCAATGAAACAATTTGTATCTGAGCCCAAGAAAAGCAAATTTTACGTATGACAGTGATCCATTTCAGGTACCAGAGGTGGACAAGTGCTCACCTGTATCCCTCCTGCCTGCTTTCTGTCTAGTACATCTCGAAAGTACATCTAGTACAATCTGAGAAAAGAACAGTCTGGTATTTATTTAATACTCACCAAACTTGAAGCACACACTGCTTGGAATGCTCCAGCATGGCAAAGGCATATTTAAATGCTCAGACTCCTGCTATCCTTGCTTGAAATCTTGAGATTCAGCTGTGCTCTTCTGTTACTGCCATCCCTCCTACCTCATCTGTAAAACAGGAACAAATACTATTTATGCTCCTGCGTAAAGCTCCTGAGAGCATCACAGGAAAGGTAGTGTGCATGTGGATTTATTATTGGGTCTATTTATACGATGAAAAGTAAAAGGACAACACATAAGCAACTTCCAACAACTCATTTTTGCACTGCTTAGCCTGAGGAGGTTATTATGCACAGTCGCTCCAGAGAAAGAAAGCTTCAGTGCTCTGAGCAGAGCATGCCCAAAGGAAGAATGCACTAAGCACCGGGCTCAGGAAAGCCTCAGCTTACAAATCAGCTTATCTCACCCATGCACAGGGTAGCCTTTTTCACATGGTATTTTAAACAATCTTCAACTTGTGAATTCCTGAATCTGTGAGATAAAAGTAAGTCATCATAGGATGAACCTCAGCTCCCTAGAACTGCCTAGCAGGAATGGAGAGAAACAAAATGAAGGAGATATTTCCCAGATATATCTGATTTCTTGCAGATGATATATGTCACATTTATCTTACTCTTCCATTTTGTATTTGTTTTTAATTGCTCCCTTGAAATGTAACTCCCACATCTCTGAATTGTGTGACTAATAGAGAGAAGTGGCAAATAGCTGTCATTTACAGAGGAAAATAGAAAATACACTATTTAATAGAATAAAATAGAATATCAGCAAGTTTTATTGAAATTTCTTACAGCGATAAATCCACCGCACCCAAAGCAGAGTAATCAGTGGAAATTAGTACTACCCCTTCTTGGACTTAATGGGTGCTCCACCCTTAGGGATTAGGTGCTCTCTTCAGCCTTTCTGCAGAGACATTCTGCTGGCCCATCCCTGCCAAGCACAGTGAAGGGAACTGCCTGCCTATGGGACACTGAGCTGAGCATGGAGCTCATTCTAGATTTACTGAAGGGCAAACAGGAGATGTGTGGAGCCACTGCACCTGGGGTCCATCAATAACATCTCAGTTAGAGATGTACTACTTGGCATAGGTTTACAGCATAGCTAGGTCTTCTTGGACTTAGTCAAGATAGAATAACACTGCATTGTGCTTTCATTACTTGCATATAAGTTGATGCAGTGATACTGGAATTTTTAAGGCTATAAGAAGACATATGCACCTAATCTGAGCTCTGAATCACACAAGAGCACCCACAGGTAATGGTCATGGCTATATGATGCTGGAGTAATGCAGCAAATGCATAATTTGTGATTGTGCACTGCAGTAGACTACAGTTGGTGAAACTGAAATGGGAACTCTTGAATTATTTCTTTGCCAGATATGGGATAAAAAAATTGCTTACAGGCTGGTCTAGGTGAGGCTGCATTAAGCTAAGCTGTAGATGAAATTATTGTTGTATTCACTGCAAGGGCTGCTATGACAACAGATGAATGCTGCAGGTAATTTAATTACATTTCTGCCAGTCCCTCTGCTTTTCAGGAGACAATGCAGCAGCCAACAGCATTTTCTTTTAATTTTGCAGGTGGCACAAAAATCACACGTCAATTTCTCCTCCAGAGGGCCTAACAAGAGCATTTCACTTGAGTCATGAAACATTATTTAAGTACCTTGAAGGATTGCTTGTGCTTTCTCCCAGCATCCCCAATCCAGCACGCTTTCACCCCACAGTCTCAGCAGTCGCACTGTGCAGTGACACTTTGAGTCCATCCTCTTCTTTGCAGCTGCACGACACTCCTGTGGGCTGAACCCCGACAGCAGCAACTCCATTTGCACATCGAAGATAGAAATGCTTTCACTGAAAACAAAGCAACAAAGCCCAGCTCAGCACAAAGCCCCGTGGAACAGAGGCACCTTCGTGTCCAACTTGCACAGTGCCAGAGGACAGCAGGATGCAGCAGCGGGTGGCTGCCAGCAAGCACTGTCTCCTTCTCCACAGCACATGAGATGATGTGGGTCAAATGGGAGTTTTAATTATATGAGACAGTTTTTAATTAATTTTGTTAACTCTTGGAGGCATTTCTCCAGCAACAGCAGGAGGGGGGGGCAGTTAGTGCTCCATGCTGCACCTTCAGCTGTGCTCCAGCAAAGCATCCTCCTGCCCTGCCCCTGCCCAAGGCACTGGGAAGAAATAAATGTGTGAAAATCAGCGTTCATCCAGCAAAGGAGAGCTGAGAAAGCCACAGTGCCGGGTGGCTGTCTCCATCCTGCACTTATCTTTCATGTCTCAGGTGTGTTTTAAATGAACACCGCTTGACCATATTAATGGGAAAAAGTGCTGGGGGAAGGAGGTGAGAAAAGTTCCTCTGTGATCGTGAACTGTGCAGCTGGCGAAGGAAAGCAACTGCTTTAAGGACAAAGTATCGACTGAAAGAACAGGGAGAAGTTAATAGATATTGACTTGCATTTGCTGTAAATAGGTCACAGCACACCGGCATGTTCCTCTCCAAGGCATGATGAAACACAAGTGCCACAATGGGCAAATGTTTAATGTTACATACATGTCATTCCCTGCTACAGAGAGACAGTATTTTCCCATGCAAAATCCCTGACATCTACAGAGCAGCACTGATGATACTGGGAGTGGTGAGAGCTCCCCAAATCTGCACATAAGATCAGTCAAATAACCCTTTAATTTACATTAATTAAAGATGGAACACCATAATTATCTATCGTTTATCTGTGTGAGGAGAAATCCTTCCATAGCAGAGCATAAATTCAGTCACCATGCAATTAACTCATAGTTACATGGCTACAGGACAAATGTGCAACAAGATTCAGATAACATGCGAAGGCGATAAGAAATACCCAGGCAGTTCACTAGCATTGAGGAAATTAGCCACACCAAATTAGATATCAATGAACACACTTACTACCATTTAAGTTATTATTCTGAATATAAACTGAAACTCAATTATTTTTACAGAGCTCTGACCAACCCGTATTAGGAATGCTGTGCATTTTGTGACACTGAAAAGGTACAAACTCACTGCCTTCTCCCCAGCAGCCCCTTGGAATGAAGAGAGAAAGGTGGAACAACAGCGAAGAGCCGGGTTTGGGTCAGCAGTGAAGGCAGTGACAAGGCACTGAAGGGAGATCTTGGGAGACCTGGATGCTTTCCTGATCTGAGAGCTTTGTGCCTCCATTCCTCCTCTGCCGTATGGAGATAATTATACTTCTATTGTGAAGGGCTTTGAAATGGCTCTGATGAAAAGCTCTACAAAATGCCAAGTTATTACTCATGCTCATCCATCAGGTTTGGTGGAGTGCTGGCATATTTAGTGAGCATGGGAGACACTGATAGTTCATAAATTCCAATTCATGCTGGATCCTTCTCAAAGGAATAACAAAAGAGAGGGTGATCTGATGAACGGGCAAATAAAGGTTGAATATAATTCACAAATCCAATGAAGGAAACACCTCTGAAGTAGCACCTGACAGAATTCCCAAGGTGAGAAGAAAAGTGTGAAGAAAAGCATCACTGTGCCTTTTGCACAGACCATCCCCAGAGCTCCAGGAGGGAACAAAAACTGAGATGGCAGTGTCTTCATTTTAGGAGACAAAGGAATTGTGCCTTCTTATATGAGGCAGCATGAACCAAGGATATATTCATGTGTATACAAATATATAGAGAGAAATATACATATATGCAGCTAGAAAGAGAAGATCCATGTTAAAGCTGTCAGAATAACAAGTTTTGTTTGGAGGCTTTGCAACCTGTTCAGGTCCTCCAAGTGAATTCCAATAAAAATTTGCACATCCACCATGCTGTCCTCTACTCTGAACACTTCAGAAGTAACTGGGTTCATTAGCACTATTTTTCATATCTTTCCACTGATACAGCCAAGTTCCCTTGGCAACAGAAGTCAAAATGCACAGGCCGAGCACTAGAAAAAAATATAATTAATGCATTTTAAGAATGATTAAAATTGACCTAAAATAGCCTTATTTTATATTTGCAATTTGAAGCTTTAGCATCTTGGGACTCTCAGAACCTACAGCCACTTCTCTACATCTCACTGAAGGGCTTGGCTTTGTTCTCACTGGTATTCGGTTCCTGGTCCAGATGCTCAGATGAAGTAAAATGGTTTCACTCTACTGTCAGGGGATCTCTGATCAGCACAAGATCTCCCCATTGCTAAGGACACAAGGCTCACTGGGCTTCTGACTACAACCATGCCTTTAAGTCTCCATTCTCCCCCTCCTACTTCACCTGCCAGGATCTGGCCTTGAGCAATCAGCTCCATTCATGGGGAATCATTAAGTTCCACCATGTGTAGACATAAACACTCAGGGCCTCACAGCCCTCTTATCATTCCCACCACCTCAAGAAACAGCGACAGTGCTTTCCAGAAAGCCAAGTATCAGGTTTTAGAACAAGAGCAAGGACTGCTGTTCCTGGCTGCAGGAAGTCTCATTTGTCACAGATCCACCTGCTAAATGTCATTCTGCATCACTCTGTCCCACCACAAGAAGTTCTGATAGCAAACTCTCTCCTCCTATGGCTTTTCCCCTTCTTTGGAATTATTAAAAATCATCACAGCAGCGGACATGACAAAATGTGACTGGTAAACCATTTCAGAAAGGCTACACGAGCCCTTAAGCTAACAGGTCATCCCACTGTATTTCAACAACACACCCAAAGCTGTTCACCCAGGTCTGCCAGGAGACTTTCCACATCATCTTCTTCCCAGCACACTTATAATCTAGAAGAATTTTCTGGAAACTCAAGCAGTGCACAGGCTTTTCCTCTGCCATCTCTCCTGATCAGAAGTTCCAACGTGATTATTCAGAGTGCTTTTATTTGTCCTTTTGAGCTCGCTGCTTGGCATCCTCCCACAGCCAATTTCTTTAAGGATTTGTCTTTCTCTCTGATGCAAAGCAGACATTTAGGTATGTGCATCCAGCCTGCTTGGTCTGCTTAATGAAAACATCAATAAGGCACAGACTGGAAAAGGAGAGGGAGGTACACAGTCATTAAGACCTGTTATTAGTGTTCTGCACAATGCCACATGCTTTTGTACATAAGCAACTAATACAGCAATGAATACCACGATGAGATGGAGAAACCTCACTGAAACTGGAAAATGTAAACACTGCCCTCCATTAAGGTAATTAACAGAAGTGGTTAAGCACCTTCACAGAAAAGAAAAGCTGGAGATCCTGCTGCAGACACAAATGTTGGCCCTCAGCCACAAGAGAGAAATCAAACTCCTTAAAAAGAAGCCATCACCAGGAGAACAAATGCCAGCCCAATCATCCATCCAGATCCGTATGCCACCAAACCGCCTTGATGTAAAATGCTGGGATCACAAAAGGGTGAGCATGACATTGACTCCTACTGATTGAGTCAGCAGGCAGAATATAGAGCCTAGATGTTGCAAGAAAGGGGACAGAGTATCTCATCTGCTGGTACACAATTAACTCATCAAGAATTCTTGAGTGCACTTAAGTGACAGGTTGAGTTTACACAAGAGCAATGCTTCTCTTTGTATTTTTGACATGCATTTCAAACCCCAGTGCTGGATTTGCTGGAAAGTAAGGCCATAGCTGGAGATGGGCGTTGGTAGAAACATGGGAATGCTCTGTCTGGCCACAGAGGGAGCCTGACTCCGCAGATGTGACCACAGAGGCTTGGATTCCTTGTTTCTATTTTAAACCTTTGCCCCCAGATACAATTCTTCACCCACTGGTTCAAAACGTTTTGCAAAGTTGAGTTCCCCCAAGGAAAGCACAGTCTGCAATAGTTCTCCCACTATTTGCTCGTATACACCAGTTACCAGCAACTTTTCTAATAACTCATTGCTCATGCAAATTAATTCAGCTTAGAGAAACAAGTCTTGATGATTATAAAACGCTGCAATCACAGTATTGCTTCCGGCCATCTGAGAGTAAATTCATCAAGCATTTGATATTTAAAGCTGCCGTGGTGATGAATGCATGCCTTCATTTATGACTGTAGACCAGAGAGAAAACAGAATACAGAAAAATGACTGCATGATGGGAATCCCAACAGAAACCACTGGAGACAAAGGCGGGGATACGAAATCTCTTTCATAACCAGCTGAATGTATCTTACATGCAGCAACTCATCCTCTCTTATTTAGCATGGACCCATTAAAAAAGAAGCATCAGCAAACAGCAGCTTTACTGAGCCAGAAGCACTGTGTGGTGTTCCTGTTGACTGTATCTGATAAAAACCTTATTATGCCAAGGTCAAGGACAGCACACAGAAGGAGGTGTCTCTTCTGCCCCTCAGTACACATGCAGTCAACTGTTACGATTATGGATGTTCACTCTGTGTGTGCAGAGCATACAAAGAGGAGGATGAACTCCTCTGAGGTGTTGATAACAACCCTGCTGTTGCTGTGTATCTTGTTCTGTATATAGCATTATTGTGAAAACAAAAGGAAAACGAATAGTAAATACCCATGATTACATTACACTAATTGTTTTCATGGTGTCCCATGGAGTCAAAGTTTAAAGCAATGCTGTGAAATACAGAGAAATACTAACTCCATTGTTACTCACATTAATGGTGTTAATCACAATGAAAATTATCTTAGTAATGAATGTAGCAAGAGTCGTGAAAGATGATTTGAGGCAAGTCATGTGGGGCTCACATCACTCCCAGAGCACCCAAACTCCTCTGCTGGCACTAGGAGCATTTCCAAACAGAACCTTGTTCTGCCATCCGAAATAGAGAAGCAGAATCTGAGAGGCTTTTTCCCCCAGCTGCTCTCACTTTGTCCTCAAAGCAGTCACACAGTACCTTCCTGCACCCTGCAGAGAGAAGCAGCTCTGACCTGTGGCTGCTTTGCTTTGGGAGAGTCTTTCCAATGGATGAGACATCAAACGTTCTTCTGCAACATGTGGATGTAGAGCAAACCCGTAACAGACCCCCTGGGTAATGCCTTATCCATAGCATCCGCACCACCTGCAGGCAGAGCACACACATCAGCCTGGCAATCAGCCTGACCTCGTCAAGGGCGACAGAGGGACAATAGGGAACAGAAAATCCTTGGACATTAACCTCTCAGCAACCTGTGTTTGGCAGACCTCAACTGTCATTTATCCTGGGATAACATCTGAGAAAAAGGAGCTGAACTCCCATCTACTGCTCTGTAAGGAAATTATAAAGCAGCTATCTATTTTTTCATTAAAATTAAATAATTGAATCTGTCCGGATTCATGTACTTTATCCCCATGAGATATTGGGGAGAATTAAGTTTCAATTGACTTTCCAGACCTTGGTTATCATAGGAAGCTTTTCAAAAATCAGGACATTTGGCAATTTGAAATTCAAATAGGTTTCAGTCGATATGTTTACTATTGCCAGACAGGAGTCCTTGTCCCCTGGGTGTTTAATGCCTCAATAAGTAATTGGTCCTTTCATCTTTTATATGCGCAGAGTGAAGAGTTTATGGCTCATACAGCAAATTGTCAATACAAAGGATCTTTGCTCTAGTCTTAAATAACTCAGCTCCCAGCTCCATTAAATCCCGTTAGAAATCCCCATCCCTCCCCACGCCCACAACAGCCTTTGAAGACTTTTCTCCCACCCCCAATTTTCAATGGCATCTTTAAAAGGTAGCTCTGCTTGACTCCCCAGGCCTAAATACAAAGAGAGGGAGGTGAACGTGAGGAAAGTGTGAAATTCTGAGTACTCACTGCACCTGCATTCAGACCTCACATCTTTACAGAGAACGCAATAGTATCAGTACTGCAAAAGGGTATTCCATGGGAAGCTATCACCCAAGGCTACACGGGCAGCCTGGTTTGCTGAGAGGTGATGCTGCATCCCCACGCATCTGATGCTGCTCAGACATCGTCCCATTCCCATTTTACCAACCAGACTCTCAGTGCAGGGTTCTCACCAACTTCATGCTGGTTTATGCAACTTGGAGGACAGGTGCTACCTGCAGTACAAGCGAAGTCGTCCGATCCCTTTGCAAGAAAAACTGAGCTCTCAAAACTCCTTGTCCAAGTTGAGATTCTAAGAAGCACTGCTAACGTTTCACATTTTCCTTTTTGTGCATGGCACTGTGTGCCAGCTTAGCACATGGAGGAAGCCAAGAACAAATCCTTACCTGGGGCTTGGCCTGTGAAGGGTTACGCAGCCCCTGCTGGGCTTCTACTACTTCTCAAAAGTTACACACCAGCTTTCCTCAGATTTCCTTGCACCATGTTTCATATGAGTTCCTCCCTGGCCCATTCCAGTAAAAGTGAGCCAGACCAGCAAAGATCCACCACTTATCCTGTACAAACTCTCCTTACTCATTTTTCATTGATGCATGGGAAAACATCAAGCCTTCTCACAGGGATCTACACTGTTACACAGCATCACCAGAGATGAAACACAGCACAGAGAATCTGGGACACTGAACAAGCATCTTAAGCTCAGCAGTGCATCCCTACAGCATTACTTAGCACTCATCCCCACCAGCAGCATGGACTGTGCTAGAACACTGGCTAGCTACTGGCTATTGTTTGCACAGATTAGCAGGTCTCCTGTAGGAGCTCATAACAATTTGTATTGTAAC